AGAGAGTCGTAGTCATGTGACACCAGCTGGGCCAATTCCAACAGTACCTGTCACATGATAAAAGTAACATACAATGTAGAATGTAAGTTAATCATTCTTTATTGTGTGTGTATGTATATAGTACCATAGTATTATCTCACATCTGATATCAACAGTTTCCCAATACAGTAATTTTTAAGGATAAAGTTGCAAATTATGTGTTTTTTCCATATTGTCTTTGTAACAGTATATTGCCAAAATATCTTATTTCAAGCTAGAAAAAAAAGTTCTTTGTGATTAGCATGTTATGTATCCTTAACAGATTAAATATTTTAGATAAAAGTGAGTAAGGCACTTTAGATAAAAGTGCCTAACTAAGTAAAAGTAAAGTCTGTGTGACACCTGGTTGCGTTTGCTCTCTTGTTCAGAACTCTCACACAGCTGACAGTTTTCCAGCATCAGTCCGAACAACACCATGTGTGACGACAGCATCTAGAGACAAAAAGATAACTCATTCTTTGACTCAGGTCACATGACAAAAGTTAGCATATGTGGCTTGTCATATACAATTCGTTGTATAATTCACACAAATGTCATGCATTATGTGTAATGAAGAAAAATTTACATGTACTCAACATTATTGCATTTCAAATTTTTTACCATCTTTAATATAGTTAAATACTTACTTTCTCATCTTGTTCTGAGAAAAAGCTCCCTGCACATGTGCTTGGCCTGCTTTTGTTCACAGCCATGACATCACCTATAACCTGCCAAAATACAATGGACCAGTCCTTAGAGAGATAAAAACAAATTAATGTTCATTACTAAAAAGATATAAAAGACTAACTGGTTATTTAGCAAAATATCATATTACAAATATAAATAATATCATGTAAAAAAAAAAAAAAATGACAGTATATTAATGGATAATCTAAAACTGTCCAACCTCCTTTTTGTGGTTCAGGATGGGCACACTGAGAATACTCTTGGGTCTGTCCTCTTCCCTCTCATACGGTTCAATCTGAAATCTCAGATCCTATAAAAACACAGTTAAAATCAATTATTCAGGTGATTCAGTAAACCACATCAATTTAAAACACTGCATCACTATGTTATCTCTGAGGTGATGACAGCGTATGCTGTTTTATGGCTGTCTGCACAGGCAAA